GCAGCACCCTATAGCACCCATTGTGGCACCCTATAGCACCCATTGCAGCACCAGTATCACCAGTACAGCACCCTATAGCACCCATTGCAGCACCCTATAGCACCCATTGCAGCACCCTATAGCACCCAGCACAGCACCCTATAGCACCCATTGCAGCACCCTATAGCACCCAGCACAGCACCCTATAGCACCCATTGCAGCACCCTATAGCACCCATTGCAGCGCCCTGTAGCACCCAGCATGGCACCAGTATCACCAGTACAGCACCCTGTAGCACCCATTGCAGCACCCTATAGCACCCAGCACAGCACCAGTATCACCGGTGCAACACCCTATAGCACCCAGCACAGCACCAGTATCACCAGTACAGCACCCTATAGCACCCATTGCAGCACCCTATAGCACCCATTGTGGCACCCTATAGCACCCATTGCAGCACCAATATCACCAGTACAGCACCCTATAGCACCCATTGCAGCACCCTATAGCACCCATTGCAGAACCCTGTAGCACCCAGCACAGCACCAGCATCACCAGTGCAACACCCTATAGCACCCATTGCAGCACCCTATAGCACCCATTGCAGCACCCTATAGCACCCAGCACAGCACCAGTATCACCAGTACAGCACCCTATAGCACCCATTGCAGCACCCTATAGCACCCATTGCAGCACCCTATAGCACACTTTGCAGCACCCTATAGCACCCAGCACAGCACCCTATAGCACCCACTGCAGCACCCTATAGCACCCATTGCAGCAACCTATAGCACCCAGCACAGCACCCTATAGCACCCATTGCAGCACCCTATAGCACCCAGCACAGCACCAGTATCACCAGTACAGCACCCTATAGCACCCATTGCAGCACCCTATAGCACCCATTGCAGCACCCTATAGCACCCAGCACAGCACCCTATAGCACCCATTGCAGCACCCTATAGCACCCATTGCAGAACCCTATAGGCACCCATTGCAGCACCCTATAGCACCCAGTACGGCACCAGTATCACCAGTACAGCACCCTATAGCACCCATTGCAGCACCCTATAGCACCCATTGCAGCACCCTATAGCACCCAGTACGGCACCAGTATCACCAGTACAGCACCCTATAGCACCCATTGCAGCACCCTATAGCACCCATTGCAGCACCCTATAGCACCCAGTACGGCACCAGTATCACCAGTACAGCACCCTATAGCACCCATTGCAGCACCCTGTAGCACCCATTGCAGCACCCTATAGCACCCAGTACGGCACCAGTATCACCAGTACAGCACCCTATAGCACCCATTGCAGCACCCTATAGCACCCATTGCAGAACCCTATAGGCACCCATTGCAGCACCCTATAGCACCCAGTACAGCACCAGTATCACCAGTACAGCACCCTATAGCACCCATTGCAGCACCCTATAGCACCCATTGCAGCACCCTATAGCACCCAGTACGGCACCAGTATCACCAGTACAGCACCCTATAGCACCCAGTACGGCACCAGTATCACCAGTACCGCACCCTATAGCACCCATTGCAGCACCCTATAGCACCCAGCACAGCACCCTATAGCACCCATTGCAGCACCCTATAGCACCCAGCACAGCACCCTATAGCACCCAGCACAGCACCCTATAGCACCCATTGCAGCACCATTATGCACCAGTACAGCACCAGTACACACCAGTATGACCCATAACTCCACTAAGCCGGACAATTCCCCCCCCCCATGGAGCCCCACAACTGCCCCACAAGCAACTGCCCCATAGATGCTGCAAGCTGCATAACTGCCCCATAGATGCTCCAAGTCCCACAACTGCCCCATAGATGCTCCAAGCCACATATCTGCCCCATAGATGCACAACTGCCCCATAGCCCCCAGCCCCACAACTCACCCCAGGTCCTCCAGCCCCACAGCTGCCCCACAGGCAACTGCCCCATAGATGCTCCGAGCCCCACAACTGCCCCATAGATGCTCCAAGCCACATAACTGCCCCATAGATGCCCAACTGCCCCATAGGCCCTCAGCCCCACAACTCACTCCAGATCCTCCAGCCCCACAGCTGCCCCACAAGCAACTGCCCCATAGATGCTCCGAGCCCCACAACTGCCCCATAGATGCTCCAAGCCCCACAACTGCCCCATAGGCCCTCAGCCCCACAACTCACTCCAGATCCTCCAGCCCCACAACTGCCCCACAAGCAACTGCCCCATAGATGCTCCGAGCCCCACAACTACCCCATAGATGCTCTGAGCCACATAACTGCCCCATAGATGCCCAAAGGCCCCATAGCCCCCAGCCCCACAACTGCCCCATAGATGCTCCAAGCCACATAACTGCCCCATAGATGCCCAACTGCCCCATAGGCCCTCAGCCCCACAACTCACTCAGGATCCTCCAGCCCCACAACTGCCCCACAAGCAACTGCCCCATAGATGCTCCGAGCCCCACAACTGCCCCATAGATGCTCCGAGCCCCACAACTGCCCCATAGATGCTCCGAGCCACATAACTGCCCCATAGGCCCTCAGCCCCACAACTCACTCCAGATCCTCCAGCCCCACAACTGCCCCACAAGCAACTGCCCCATAGATGCTCCGAGCCCCACAACTGCCCCATAGATGCTCCGAGCCCCACAACTGCCCCATAGGCCCTCAGCCCCACAACTCACTCCAGATCCTCCAGCCCCACAACTGCCCCACAAGCAACTGCCCCATAGATGCTCCGAGCCCCACAACTGCCCCATAGATGCTCCGAGCCCCACAACTGCCCCATAGATGCTCCGAGCCACATAACTGCCCCATAGGCCCTCAGCCCCACAACTCACTCCAGATCCTCCAGCCCCACAACTGCCCCACAAGCAACTGCCCCATAGATGCTCCGAGCCCCACAACTGCCCCATAGATGCCCAACTGCCCCATAGCCCCCAGCCCCACAACTCACCCCAGGTCCTCCAGCCCCACAGCTGCCCCACAAGCAACTGCCCCATAGATGCTCCGAGCCCCACAACTGCCCCATAGATGCTCCAAGCCACATAACTGCCCCCATAGATGCCCAACTGCCCATAGGCCCTCAGCCCCACAACTCACTCCAGATCCTCCAGCCCCACAGCTGCCCCACAAGCAACTGCCCCATAGATGCTCCGAGCCCCACAACTGCCCCATAGATGCTCCAAGCCCCACAACTGCCCCATAGGCCCTCAGCCCCACAACTCACTCAGGATCCTCCAGCCCCACAACTGCCCCACAAGCAACTGCCCCATAGATGCTCTGAGCCACATAACTGCCCCATAGATGCCCAAAGGCCCCATAGCCCCCAGCCCCACAACTGCCCCATAGATGCTCCGAGCCACATAACTGCCCCATAGATGCCCAAAGGCCCCATAGCCCCCAGCCCCACAACTGCCCCATAGATGCTCCAAGCCACATAACTGCCCCATAGATGCCCAACTGCCCCATAGGCCCTCAGCCCCACAACTCACTCAGGATCCTCCAGCCCCACAACTGCCCCACAAGCAACTGCCCCATAGATGCTCCGAGCCCCACAACTGCCCCATAGATGCTCCGAGCCCCACAACTGCCCCATAGATGCTCCGAGCCACATAACTGCCCCATAGGCCCTCAGCCCCACAACTCACTCCAGATCCTCCAGCCCCACAACTGCCCCACAAGCAACTGCCCCATAGATGCTCCGAGCCCCACAACTGCCCCATAGATGCTCCGAGCCCCACAACTGCCCCATAGGCCCTCAGCCCCACAACTCACTCCAGATCCTCCAGCCCCACAACTGCCCCACAAGCAACTGCCCCATAGATGCTCCGAGCCCCACAACTGCCCCATAGATGCTCCGAGCCCCACAACTGCCCCATAGATGCTCCGAGCCACATAACTGCCCCATAGGCCCTCAGCCCCACAACTCACTCCAGATCCTCCAGCCCCACAACTGCCCCACAAGCAACTGCCCCATAGATGCTCCGAGCCCCACAACTGCCCCATAGATGCCCAACTGCCCCATAGCCCCCAGCCCCACAACTCACCCCAGGTCCTCCAGCCCCACAGCTGCCCCACAAGCAACTGCCCCATAGATGCTCCGAGCCCCACAACTGCCCCATAGATGCTCCAAGCCACATAACTGCCCCATAGATGCCCAACTGCCCCATAGGCCCTCAGCCCCACAACTCACTCCAGATCCTCCAGCCCCACAGCTGCCCCACAAGCAACTGCCCCATAGATGCTCCGAGCCCCACAACTGCCCCATAGATGCTCCAAGCCCCACAACTGCCCCATAGGCCCTCAGCCCCACAACTCACTCAGGATCCTCCAGCCCCACAACTGCCCCACAAGCAACTGCCCCATAGATGCTCTGAGCCACATAACTGCCCCATAGATGCCCAAAGGCCCCATAGCCCCCAGCCCCACAACTGCCCCATAGATGCTCTGAGCCACATAACTGCCCCATAGATGCCCAAAGGCCCCATAGCCCCCAGCCCCACAACTGCCCCATAGATGCTCCAAGCCACATAACTGCCCCATAGATGCCCAACTGCCCCATAGGCCCTCAGCCCCACAACTCACTCAGGATCCTCCAGCCCCACAGCTGCCCCACAAGCAACTGCCCCATAGATGCTCCGAGCCCCATAACTGCCCCATAGATGCTCCGAGCCCCACAACTGCCCCATAGGCCCTCAGCCCCACAACTCACTCCAGATCCTCCAGCCCCACAACTGCCCCACAAGCAACTGCCCCATAGATGCTCCGAGCCCCACAACTGCCCCATAGATGCTCCAAGCCACATAACTGCCCCATAGATGCCCAACTGCCCCATAGGCCCTCAGCCCCACAACTCACTCCAGATCCTCCAGCCCCACAGCTGCCCCACAAGCAACTGCCCCATAGATGCTCCGAGCCCCATAACTGCCCCATAGATGCTCCGAGCCACATAACTGCCCCATAGATGCTCCGAGCCCCACAACTGCCCCATAGCCCCCATCCCCACAACTCACCCAAGGTCCTCCAGCCCCATAGCACCCATAGGGGCCCCCCAGCGCCCCACAACCGCCGCCGGGCCCCGAAGCCAGGAAGTGGGACGGGGGTGGGGGAGGGGCGGGGGGGAGGGGGGGTGGGGGAGGGGCGGGGGCCGTGCAAGGACGGCGGGAACCGGGTCAGGCCCCGGGGGGGGGTGGGGGGAGGGATGGGGGTGGGGGGAGGGGGTTGAGAGGAACTGGGGGGCATTTGGGGGGAATTGGGGAATTTGAGTGGAATTTGGGGAATTTTGGAGGAATTTGGGGAAATTTGGGGGATTTTGGGGGGCAAATTTGGATTTGGGGGGAATTTGAGTGGAATTTGGGGGGATTTTGGAGGAATTTGGGGGAAATTTGGAGGAATTTGGGGGATTTTGGAGGAATTTAGGGGCAATTTTGGAATTTGAAGGGATTTGGGGGGAATTTGAGTGGAATTTGGGGGGATTTTGGAGGAATTTGGGGGACATTTGGGGGGATTTTGGAGGAATTTAGGGGGCAAATTTGGAATTTGAAGGGATTTGGGGGGAATTTGAGTGAAATTTCGGGGGATTTTGGAGGAATTTGGGGGATTTTAGAGGAATTTAGGGGGCAAATTTGGAATTTGAAGGGATTTGGGGGGAATGTGAGTGGAATTTGGGGGGATTTTGGAGGAATTTGGGGGATTTGGGGGGGCAAATTTGGAATTTGAAGGGATTTTTGGGGAATTTGAGTGGAATTTGGGGGGATTTTGGAGGAATTTGGGGGAAATTTGGAGGAATTTGGGGGATTTTGGAGGAATTTGGGGGATTTTGGAGGAATTTAGGGGCAATTTTGGAATTTGAAGGGATTTGGGGGGGAATTTTAGTGAAATTTGGGGGGATTTTGGAGGAATTTGGGGGATTTTGGGGGAGTTTTAGGTATTTAGAGGAAAATTCGGGAATTTGAAGGGATTTGGGGGGAATTTCAGTGGAATTTTGGGGATTTGGAAGGGATTTGGGGGGAATTGAAGGGATTTAGGGGAAATTTTTTGGATTTGGGTGGAATTTGGGGGGATTTTGGAGGAATTTAGGGGCAAATTTGGAATTTGAAGGGATTTGGGGGAAAATTTTGGAATTTGTGGGGAATTTGAGTGGAATTTGGGGGATTTTGGTGGAATTCAGGGGGAAATTGAGGAACTCAAAAGGATTTGGGGTGATTTGGGAAGGAATTTGAGTGGAATTTTGGAGGAATTTTGGAGGAATTTAGGATGAATTTGAGTGGAATTTGGGTGAATTGGAAGGGATTTAGGGGGGAAAATTGGGAATTTGAAGGGATTTAGGGGAAAAATTGGGAATTTGAGGGGGTTTGGTGGAATTTTGGGGGATTTTGGTGGAATTTTGGGTGATTTTGGTGTAATTTGTGGGGATTTTGGTGGAATTTGTGGGATTTTGGAGGAATTTGGGGAATTTGAAGGGATTTAGGGGAAATTTGGGAATTTGAAGGGATTTGAGTGGAATTTGGGGGGATTTTGGAGGAATTTGGGGGAATTTGAAGGGATTTAGGGAAAATCTGGGAACTTGAAGGGATTTAGGGAAATTTGGGAATTTGAAGGAATTTGAGTGGAGTTTGGGAGGAATTTGGAGGGATTCAGGGGAAAAATGAAGGATTTGGGAGGAATTTGAGTGGAATTTGGAAGACTTTGGGGAGAACTGAGGGATTTTGGCAAGGATTTGGGGGAATTTGGGAACATTTTCGCCGATTTTGGACAATTTGGGCAGAATTTCCGGCCCGTTTGGGGGAATTTGGGAGAATTGGGGGGGATTTGGGAGAATTCCCGCGGATTCGGTGCGATTTTTGAGCCGAATTTGTACAAATTCGGGGTCAATTTTGGGTGGATTTCAGGGGGTTTTGGGGGGGCACAAAGGGGGCGCCATAGGGGGGATATGGGGGGGTTATGGGGTGGGTTTGGGGTCTCACCA